CCTCAATTTAAAGTATAGTGTTGTAAATAAACACACCTAGAGCGAATGAATCATATACCAGGGTCTCAAGGACTTGAAGTCCTAAATACTATAACCCAGCAGTCAATTCATCTTAACCTGTGAAGGCCTAGAACATTCTGCTTAAGGAGAACATAACTTAGCTACATAGAAATGGGTCACCTTTCAGTGAAACTCTTGATCTGGGTGATAATGTTAGCATAAGTATTTATAGAGAATTTGTTAATGTCTCTGGAATGAGGAACACGAAGAGAGTGAAAAGGAGTCAAAACTCAAAGATAAGAAGGCTTGAGCTCGATAGCTTAGTATATCCAGTGAAGGGCTGGGATGCTCTTTCTCTCTGACTTGGAGTTACGCTGCTTGGTCCCAGCTATGAAGAGGCAGAGAGGGAGGCTTTGGATGTACAGGGTGGTGGCTTTGCTCTCTGCCATCTCTGAAGAAGGGAGACCTTGACTGTTCTCTTGGAAGCTCTGGGGCTTCATGTGTGGTTACTGGGAGAGAACCTCTGTGAAGATCCATTTCAGTCTTAAAATGACAAAAACCCTGACCAAAATTTAGTGAGAAGCAAACAGCTGAGGCTTCAACCAAATATTGTCACCAGCAAATAATGATCTTTCTATTGAAAATACATCATTTTGCTTATCTATTGCTGCATGGAAAATGGTCCCAAAACTTACTGGCTTCAAACAACTGCTATTTTATTAGTTCATTATTCTGTGGATTTTGGATTCACAGTCCTGGAATGGCTTGTTTTTGCTTCCTGCTGTCTGAGGCCTCTGTGGGGTTGGCTTGAGCAGCTGAGAGTTAGCTGGAATGGTTTGGCCAGAGTTTTATGTTAATGGTGGTTGGCTAAGCTTCTCAGTTTGCGGTTTCTCCATGAGCTTAGACCCCTTCACAGGATGCTGGTCCCGGGGAAAGCTGAATTTCTTCTTCTTTGTTTTTTTTTTTTTTACGATTTATTTATTTGTGCATACAGAACTGGGGTACAGGCCAGAGCTGCAGGGATGGTGAAAGGATTTACCAGAGGCAGAGTGAGGAGCAGAACAGGCAGATAGAGGAAGTACACTGCTGAGGGGAGCAACGGGCGGGTCAGGAGAGGTCTGCCACTCCATGTGGTCACCTCCCCAGCAGGCGGGGATCGAACTCATATGGAAGTGGCTTAAGTTTCTTAGTGCTGCGCTTTAACCCACTGCGCCACCAGGGAGGGCTGGAAGCTGAACTTCTTAAATGGCAGTTGCATTCTTAGCTGGAACATTCCAGAAGAATGCCCTTGAAGGACTAGTACTAATAAGCCTCTGCTTATCTCACACATGGGATGTTTGTGGGCCAAAGTGAGTCACATGTCTGACAGCCAGAGAAAATGTGGCAGGATCTATGAGGGACAGGAGTGCTGGTAGTGAGGATTTACTAAGGCTGCCTGAAAACAGGCAGAAAACAATACTATTATTTTGTCTCCATCTTCTAGTACAGAGCCTAACTACATCTATGTTTAAGTATGATGCAATATTGCCCAAAGGCCATAAAAGATACTGTTGGAATTATTGAAAAAAAAAGTACACGAATTTAATTTTATTGAAAGGAGAAGTCAAATATAAAACATGAGTCACCGTCTCAGGATTGATTTTTGTCTACATGTAGAATTATGCTTTTTTTATCCCAAAGAAATGACATACCATGTTGTTGGACACCAGATAAACTTCATAACTCCCCCATGCTATCTGCAGTCTGTGTTACATCATTTATCAAAGACTAGCTGTAAAGAAGACAAAAATATCAAATCTCAAGCACCCAGTTTAGAGTTTTTTGCTTATAATGTTGGCATTTTTGCAGATTTGTTCCAGCCTGAGAATCCCTGCCTTAATTATTTTGCCTTTTTTTTTAAGATTTATTTATTTATGCATACAGAACTGGGGTACAGGCCAGAGGTGCAGGGGCAGTGAGAGGATTCACCAGAGACAGAGTGGGGAGCAGAATAGGCTGACTGACAAAGTACACTGCTGAGGGGAGCAGCGGGCGGGTCAGGAGAGGTCTGCCATGAGAAGTGGGTCAGCTCCGGGGCGGGGATCGAACTCATGCTGAAGCGGCTTTAGCTTCTTAGTGCTGTGCTCTACCTGCTGCACCACCAGGGAGGGCCCTATTTTGGCTTTTAACAGTTGAAAAATTTACACTTGTTATTTTAAATTTGCTGTAAGTTAAAAAAAAGAAAGTGATGCTTTCTTCAATGCTAATGATACCAAGTGTCAGAGATGTTGGAGGGGCAGATTCCTAGGGTGGTCAGATTCTCAGGAAGGCCTGGCTGACCTTTCTGGAGTTTGCCTTTCTCATCTCCACACTGGGAGGATTTCATCAGTGATTGCTATGCTTTCTTCTAGTGTTGACATTTTGGGTTGAGCTTAACTGTTAGAGAAATATAAAATGTTCACTTGGGATAACAACTCTAGTATTTCTTTAAGGAAAATTTTACTTACGTGTTGCTTAGATGAAATTTTAAGTCACTTGACTTAGGAACATTTTGCTTTATCTGTATGTTACTGTTTTATTTTGCTGTGAGAAAAACAAATCAAGTCTAGGTAAAAGAAATAAATAAACTAAAATAAGAAATAGAAACTTAACTATAGAAGCCTCATGTTTGGGAAAATGTTTGATACAGTGTCTAAAAAAAGATTTTGCCAGGCTGAGGTGGAAATAAATTTGTAAAGTTTTGTGAACCTTTTTGCAATATTCATTTTTGAAGTGCTTATTCAGTTGTATTTCTTGGAAGTAGTTCTCTTTAGTTCTGTAAAATGTAACAACTTTGAGGCATTTGGGGGTACCTGGAGGAGGTTCTTAAGGGAAATATGAAGAAATGAATAATATGGGGAATAAACACAAAAATATAAAAATGGTCACCTGCTGTTATTGAAGCAGGAGGTTTTCAAACTTGTTTGTACAATCTGATTGCTTGGGACTTTTTAATTTCTGGTCCAACCTTCAGAAATTCTCTCTTTTTTTTTAATTCTAAAGATTTATTTATTTATGCATAGAAGAACTGGGGTATAGGCCAGAGATTTGGCAGGGGGAAGGGAGAGGATTCACCAGAGACAGAGTGGGGAGCAGAACAGGCAGATTGAGCAAATACACTGTGAAGGGGAGCAGCAGGAGAGACAGGAGAGGTCTGCTGCGTGGGTTAGTTCCTGTACTGGGGATGGAACTCAGGCCGGCATGGTGCTAGCACTGAGACTTAACCCCTAGGTCACGAGGGAGGCCCCCAAACTTCCGAAATAGTGATTAAATTGATCTCTAACATGGCCTAGGTGTTAGAATTTTAAAATCTCTCTAGGTGAACCAGGAGAGCAGCCAAGGTTGAGTGTACCTGTGCTACAGAAAGTCTCCAGTTTTTGTTCCTCTGTAATTCCAGTCTTTGCTCTCTTTTCAGCTTAGTGATTTTCCCTCCCTGGGAGCATACACTTGCTTATAAATAATAATAATAATAATAAAATTTTATGAAATTTAGTTCCCATCATTTACCGGGTAGGTGTGTAAAAAACATTTGTAGAAAAGCGAACATTCAACGGTCATGTGATTGGATTGATAGATTCCAGCTGGATGTTTCTACCCACTACTGAGTGGAACGATTGGGAAATCTGTTGACTTAACTAAATTCCAAAGCAATACTTTGTATTTCTCCAGATGAGTCAACTCTTGTGTTACTGGGTTTTGGGATAATGGAATGATTGTTATTTACTCAAAATATTTCTATAGTGAAAACAAAAAAATTTACTGCCTACTCCTTATGTGGGTTGGGTGTATGTTGTTCAAAACCAAATACAAACAAAGACTTCTTGGGTTGGTAACTCATCGGAACACACAGACACTAATCAATTTGTAATGGGTGTTTTGCAAGATTTTGTGCTGCTTTAGATGTAGGAGAGAGTTTACTCTATGCTTCCTTAGCTCATGCACATGCAATTGTCTCTTTATTCAGGAAGATGGCTTAATTTTCTCTCCCTTTGTCTTTCAGTAAAACAGAGGTGTTCTAGTTTGAATGTCTGTGCCTCCACAGATGTGTTGAAATCCTAGTCCCTGAAGGTAATGGTGTTGGGAGGGTTTTAGGTTGTGAAGCTTGATTTCTCATGCAGGGGATTCATGCTCATATAACAGAGACCCCACATCATTCCTTAGTTATGTACCAGGGAGCGGTGGTCCCCAGAAGGTGGCCATCGGGTGTCTTCACGTTGGACGTCTCAGCCTTCAGAACCATGAGAAGTAAGTTTATGTTGTTTATAAGCTTCCAGTGTGCAGTACAACCTTGTAATTCTGAGTTCATGGACATGTGGATTTTCATCTCCTTTTCTCCAGTGTTGCTGGTGCTTATGACTTGACAAAGTGGCGTCTGCTCCAGAGGACACAGGGTCCTGTCCCCATGCTTAGCCCCTACCATGGCTCTGTGTGATAGTCTGGATTTTGATATTTGCAATTCCAATTATTACTTTACCTTGTAAGGTTTTTGCAACTTATCGATAACAAGGGCTTTTTCTAAGTTCCCCTTTCTATTTTTAACTCTCTAAAGGTGTTTCAGGTTTATTATTATTATTATTATTATTATTTAATTTATTTTTTAAATAAATATAATAGTTTATTTTTACATCATTTTGTATTTTTTTAAATCTCAATTGTAATCCCCGTGGATTTCTTTATTATTATTATTATTTAATGTGAGGTGGACTAGTGTTTGATAACCTCAAATTCTCTCTGGGCTCCCCTTTCTCTGCTTTCCCCCCTTTCTCCTGGTACAAGCCTAGAGCCTCATGAGCCCTTCTTGTTGCTAGAATCACAGTTCTGCTCAGTGTTCGGCTGCTGTGACTGCGATGGAAGCATCTGGTTCCTTCTGGAACGTTCACAAACAATGCTCTGAGGACCCCACTTTAGGAAGTGACCTTGAGCCTTGTCTTAACTTATGGTATTAAAAAAAAATGACAAGACACAGAATTAATGGAGCTTTATTGGCTACAGAAGGATGGGAGTCTGAGAACTGTCACAGGAAGAGGAGCTTTAAGCTCACAAACTCATGCTTTGATTTGAAAAGTGCAGCAGTGTGTAAGTTCATTAGGGGACCTCTGGGGAGGTTGCTACAGAGAGAAAAATAAAACCTTCCAAGTTGGATAACTATGAGGATACCTCTTAGGTCTCACCCACTTGTGTCTGGGCAAGGATTTTCCATTGGGGAAAAAATAGTTCTTACAACAGGCAGAGACTGTGTCCGGCTTCACACGTACTTTTGGATCTCATTCACTTGAGAAAGAACAATTCTTCCATTGACGCTCTCCCGTGTTATGGCCTTGATCGTTGGAGCTGCAGATGCTGAGGGAAAGAGCAGTGTAGAGGTCACAGCCATGCTGGCCCCACCTTCTGAGCAATCTCGCTTCAGCTCCCAACTCTCAGTGCCTGAAGGCTCATCGTGCCTTCCAGAACATGCATCCTCCTAAGCAATATGGTGGGCTTTACTGGAGCAAAAAAGTGGCCTTCCCTCCCACCCTCTAGGAAATGAGGGTGTCAGACACTGTCAGAGGTCAGTGTCAGAGGTCAAGCCCCTCTAGAGGTCAGGACCTTCATCAACGGCAGGGCTGACACAGAATCTGGTTTCTCTCTGGGTGGGCTTCGCAGCACTCGCCCTACAGATTCTGTGAGCATGCTGAGGGCTGGCTGGGCCCCTCGTGTGAAGATCTAAGCCACGTGAGGACTGGTGATGAGCAGACAAGTTCCTCCTGCCACATGGGCAGAGACAGGCCTTGTTTGAAAACTTGTCCTGTGGCCATATCAGCAAATGGGCCCTAGGGAGGAAGAACAGGACCATTCATAGAGCAAGATGGGGAACTTCATTAAAAATCAAACCTCTCCAGCAGCAGAATGGGCCACCCTATGAAGTTGTGGGGCTCCCCTCCCTGGAGAGGCCAAAGGGCCATCTGCTGGGACCTTGTATCTGCCGTGATGGTTACTGGAACTAGAATTCTGACTCCCCAAGGCCTCACACATTTTTGCCATGAACTAATCAGGGAGCACCACTTGTCCCGGCTGTCGTTTCTTAGAACTTTTTTAGTGAGATATTAATGGTAATCTGGGAAAGCAGGATCTCCCCAGGACACTGGGGAGAATTAGGTTGAACGACATAACTTTTGTCATGGATCTTGCCCGTGGCTCCCTGTCTTGCCCACAGCAGTACTTGTTCTCCCTGGCACAGTGAAATGCTACGCTACTGCTCATGAAGAGGATAACAACGCGTGTTACGGCAGAGCGGATCACCCCTGCTCTTCCAATTCCCAATGAAGCTTTCATAGAACATGAGTCCCCATAGGATACAGTTGGGGAAATGATGTGACATCATTTTCTGGGGAGTTTGTGAACAGATTTCATTATTTAATAGAATATTAGCGGTTGCCTTGTCTACTGCTGACAGAACTTTCGTATGTATTGTTGAGGACAACACTGAATGAGAGCTTATTTTGTTCTGTATTAGTTGACATGTTAAGTGACACAGGATGTCTGGGTGTGCCCTGGGGATTGTGGATGCAACAGTCTGGTAAGTGTGCTGGTTAATGTAAAGAAGTGGGTTCAAATAGTGAAAGACCGATTAGTTTTACCTTTCATGCTTGACCGCATATCTTCCTTTGTCCTACAAAAGTGATAATGGTTACAATTCATTTTAGTATTGGCAGCAATCATAAAAAGTCTCAAGCTGAACTAATTTCCTTGGCCTATCTGTAAATTCATCACTTTTAGTGAGAGTAATTGTCTGGACTCTGGAACCCCAAGGTCACGAGTTCATGGGAGAACCTCCCTGCTCTGGAGGTAGAGCATGGGTCTTGCCCGTGGCTCCCTGTCTTGCCATTACCCGTTAGCCCCTGGGAAGTCGAAGTCTCCAGATCCCTCTCTCCTTTCAGCTGCAGGGTGGCTCTGCCAGATCCTTGCCAGGGCCTGGACCCCCGTGGAGCAGCCCAGGCTTCTCAGGCTATTCCAAATTTGGTGTGATGACACTTTACTTATATGTTACAAACAAAAGCAATCCAAAACTTTTGACTTACAGGTTTGGTTCTTGGGCATCAGGACTGAGCCACACCAGCATTGTCTAACCCTTTCTCCAGGGTGTTAGAATATGTATGCCCCTTTGGTGGACAACTGCTGTTACCTCCCAAGGTGCTTAGACATACCAGGTTGACAATCTCTAGGAGGCTTTCTATTCCTCTAGAGGGAAACACTATAGCCAAACCTTGGTTACTTCTTTCTAGAGATTTTAATATATTAATTTGAGCCATCGACCTCAAATCTCAGCATCTTGCAAGTAAGAGCTGATTAAGTCACGTGTGCTGGTTGGTGGAATGTAATCTGACCTGAGTATCTTCAGGTCCTCTGACAAAGGGCCCCTGGCTGATGGGCCCCTGGCGCCCTCCCTCCTTCCCGCCCTGGCCTTACCCTCTGCCCTCGCCCTCCAGGAGCTGGCGGTAGGTGGCGATTTCCTTCTCCAGGTGGGTTTTGATGCCCAGCAGGATCTTGTACTCGGTGTTCTGACGCTCCAGGTCATGGCGAAGCTGCCTCAGTTCCTCCTCATAGTGGGAGATGACGGCCTGCATGTCCCGCAGCTGGCAGGAGTAGCGAGACTGGGTCTCTGAGAGCATGTCCTCTAGGGCGGATTTCTGTAAGGGGAAGGGACATCTCTCTCATCCATCAGCAGACACCTCAGCTGACTCAGTCAGTGCCCTTGCGAGGGGTTAGCCCTGATCCCTGCTCTTTTCTTGGGACGCCAACATGAGAAGCAGACAGACTTGTACGTTCTGGACTTGTGTCTGGTTGGAACAGTGTTGGGGGCTTTTGAAGCCCAGTTTTATAGGCATTAAACCTTTGTGGCAAGGAGCTCGTGGCAACTCTTGGAGCTCTGCTGCGCTCCTGAGCATTTATGGTATATGCTGCCCATTTGGGGTAGGGCGTTGGGCACCTGCTGCCATCCCCGATCTGCCCCTCGCCTTCTCATGCTTATGCTTCAGCCCTGCCAGAATGTAAACTCCACTAGCAAGCTCTCAGAACGGAGAACACGCCAGAGGCACGGGCTGGGTGTAAGTGCCCGGTGGACCTCAAGGGCCATGCTGAAGTACCATGTGTCAAGCAGCAACTGAGCTGCTCCTGGCTTGTCATGCTGCCTTGACAGTCATAGTTTCAGAGTCTCTCATGTCACAGGCTCACAGGACATAACAGTAATTTTCCTCCTGCACCAGCACCAAAGGGAACTGCTGACGCCCCCCAAGCCTGAGCACAGTGGAGCACGAGGGGTGAAGTGGTGAAGGAGGGAAGGCTCAGACAGGCCGCAAAGGGCATCCAACCACTGACGTAGCCTAATGAACTCTGGGTGCTTCTGCCACTCATGGTGGTGTTTTCCTGGGAACCATGACAATGGCAGCAGGGATTTAGCCTCAAGAGTGTGGAGTTTGCCCGTGGGCAGACACGCCTTGTGGGACGCCAGTGCTGTGGGCAGCCGGGGCTGGATGTGCCAGTTCATGATGGGGCTGGGGGGCTCAGCCTGGTGGTGAGTGGGGTGAGCACTGGTAGAGATTCTGGGAGCTGCCCCACCCCAAACACCCCTGGCCTTTCACTAGCTGAGTGACCTCGGCCAACTCGCTCAATGTTCTGTGCTTTGGTTCCTCCTCTCCAAAGTGGAGCCCTTTCTGGGAAGGTGAGTGTGAGAGTGCTGGAGCCAGGAACCATTTGGAGGGAAAGTGGGGAGTGACGATGTCCTGGGGGGTGGAGGTGGGCCAGGGGAGACGACTGGGCAGGCCTAGTGGGGTGGGAGGAGGCTGATCCGCACTGTCCTCCTTTAGACTCACCCTGCTGTGCTGGGCCTGCAGGTCAATCTCCAGGGCCTGGAACGTTCGCTTCAGCTCATGGATGTCACTCTGGCTGCTGGGCACGGCCGCGGGGGGTGCTGCCTGCTGGGCCATGGCTGCCGCCTGGAGTCCAAGCACAAGGCAGGCGTTGGCACTGGCTGGCAGGAAGGGGCTTTGGAGCGTCAGCAACATTCCCTTACCTGCTCTTTGTACCAAGCGTCCAAGTCTTGATGCTTCTTCTTTATTATGAACTCATACTCCTGCCTCATGTCCTCCAGGACCTTGATCAGGTCCTCTCCTGGGGCTGCATCCAGCTTCACGTTGACCTTGAAGTCACTTGGTGTGTGCTGTTCCTCCATTTCCTGTGGGCAACAGAGGCAGGCAGTGTGAGCCCAGAGCAGGTGGTGTGACCCCAGAGGCTGGTGGTGTGACCCCAGGACAGGCGGTGTGAGCTTAGAGCAGGTGGTGTGACCCCAGAGGCTGGTGGTGTGACGCCAGAACAGG